GGAAGGCTGTGTGGCGCAGGCAAAATTGCTGCTAAGTGTACAGGAGATCGTATCATTATCCTGCAGGTTGCTGCTGCTATAGGTAATGCTATTATTGCCAACCGGGATATTGTTCTTCTTCCATTGATAAGTGGGTGATGTGCCACCGTTGGTTATATGAGCCATAAAGGTCACCTCGGTTCCCTCACAGATTACATTGCCCCGGTTGCTGCTAATGGAGATCGCTGGCAGCTGGTAGGCATTTACCGTCATTGTGCTTGCATTGCTGATGGCTGTTAGCGGCATGGCGCAGGTATTACTACTGGTCAGCTGGCAGGTGATCACATCGCCGTCAGACAGGTTGTTGTCTGTGTATTGATAACTGTTGGTGCCAGTTGCAGCATTGTTCTTCATCCACTGGTAGGAAGGAAGGTCACCGCCGTTGGCTATACTTGCGGTAAATGTAACCGGAGTGCCGGAGCAGATCGTTGTACCGGTATTGCTGTAAATAGTAATAGACGGTGCCGCCGTTGAGCGAACCGACATTATTTTGGCCGCGCTGCTGATGGTCGCCGGGTTAGCGCAAAGTGCATTGCTGAGCAGGGTACAGGTGATCTGGTCGTTATGATTGAGCAACGAATCGCTATAGGTACTGCTGTTTGTACCAACGATGTTATTGTTTTTCTTCCATTGATACACAGGAGCCGGTCCTTCATGGGTCACACTGGCGGTAAAGGTAACCCTGGTGCCTGCACAAATAGTATCGCTGGTATTAGCGGCAACGGTGATGGAAGGTGTTAATACGGGGTTTACATGCAAGGTGTCTGCCACGCTGGCCACCGTGGCGGGTGTGGCGCAGGAAGCATTGGTAGCCATACTGCAGGTAATCTTATCACCATTGTTGAAGGTACTACTGGTATAAGTTGCAGCGTTGCCGCCGGTCGCGATGTCGTTGATATACCATTGATAGACCGGAGCTGTGCCGCCATTTACGGGATGTGCCGTATAGGTTACCTGGGTGCCCGCGCAGATGGTATTACCCGGCACTGCCGTGATCGTAACCGCTGCGGTCAAACCGGTGGTGATGGTCATGGTGATGGCATTGCTGGTGGCTGTGGCCGGGCTCACGCAGGTACTGTTGCTGGTCAGTTCGCAAGTAATTATATCATTGTGCTGCAGCGTGAGGTCTGTGTACGAAATACTGTCTGTACCTACAGGGGCGCCATTTTTCTTCCATTGATAAACAGGCGCCGTTCCGCCGTTGGTACTGCTGGCGGTAAAGGTTGCCGGCGCACCGGCGCATAATACAATACCGGG